CACAGGCTGGTGTACTTCTTCCATGTGGGCTCTGTTGCTTCTCAGCTAGATGACCGCTTGTTTGCCTTCAAGTCTTTAAGACCCTAGACACTATATCTTTTGATAGCTGGGCACCATCAGCTTTCTTCATCACATTTGCTTATGCACCCGCTTTGCCTTCAGCGATCATGTTGGGAAGGTAAGCATCATGGATGCCGGTTTAATGGACAAAGTTTTCTTGCGTTGAGGGAGTACTTGATTAGAAGCCAATGTCCATCTGCTACCTTAATACTAAACCTATAAATATATGCACATAAATCTAGTTCCCCATCATCATTTATAAATCTATTTACATATGTACATGCCTGTATTTAGACCTCTATGAATGCCCTTTGCCTCCTGGACACGGGCCTTTCTTAACTCTTTTTAGAGATTGTGTTTTCTTTTGCTGTTGTTCTTGGGGACTCGGCATACTGGCATACTGGGTTTTGCATTGGACTGGTTCACCACAAGGTCAGCAGTTCAAACCCACCAGACACTCCTTGGGAGAAAGATGAGGCTGTCTATCGCCTGAAAGAATTCCAGCTTGGGAAACTGCAGGGGTGGTCCTGCTCCGTCCTCTAGGGTCCTCTATGAGCAGTGAAGAGCTTCTCTTCTTTCCCCCTTCGAGAATATGCACAGCAAAAGACGCTAGGCTATCCTACCAGTCCCCCGTGGACCGTGCAGTGAGTGATGCTCATGACCGCTCTTTGCTGCGTCCCTTTTCCGGGGTGGTTCCTCCCCTACAAGCAGTCACTCACCGGCCCGTAAGATTCCTCTCTGACCCTTGGGGCTCCTGGGGGCAATGTGACTCCGTCCCTGGGTTCCCTGGCTTATCTTCAGGGAGCAGACTGCCAGGTCCTTCCTGGGCCACCCTGTGTGCACTCAGACTTCCAACCTAACAGGTAACAGCCGAGTATTTGAACCAGGCAGGGACTCCAGCATTTACACTCCCACCCCCCAAACTAACAAACCCTTGCTGCCTAGTAGATTCTGACTTCATCGCCTTATGGGATGGAGTAGAACTGCCCCTGGGGCGGTAAAGCTTTATGGGAACGGACAGCCTCATCTTTCTCTCTAGAAGTGACTGATGGCTTCAAACCTCTGACCTTTGGTTAGGTTCGAAGCCAAGGGCTTCCACCATGGCACACAAGTCCCCTCGGCCATTAATCCAGGGATTCCACGTGGACACTTTCCATCTCAAATCCTGGACATGGCGCAGGGAGGTGGAGCTGCCCCACAGCTGCCCCGCCTGAAAGAATGCCAGCCGTGTTGAAGCTGAAGCGCTGGGGGCTGCCTGGGGCCTTCAGCTGCCAAGATGCTGGAAATAGCCACCTGGCACACAGAGGCAGCCAAGCTGAAGAGACTGGGCAGCCGCCAGCCAGCCATCAGCTGGCTGCTTGCTCCCTCTCCCACCCTGGCCCCCCAGGGTCTGGGCTGTTGCCAAGTACACTGGGACAGGCATGGGGATGGGGGTGGGGGGCTAGAGACCTAGCAGGCCACCGAGAACAGCTGGACCTCGTCCCTCCCTCCTGGCTCCCGCAACCCCAGGCCATCTGGCCGAGGCCTCTGCTGTCCTTTCCCACCCGTCATTCTGCCACAGCCTCACCCCAGGGCCTTTGCACTGGCTCTTCCCCTGCCTGGAGCACCCTGCCCCCAGGAACTCCATGAAGCACCTTCCTGCCCACCTTTTAGCCCTCGGCCCCAGCGCTACCTCCTCCCAGGCTCCTCCCGGAACATCCTCACCTGAACATCCAAGGCACGACCCTTCAGGGCCCTCCTTGTTTTCTCTGAGCCCATTATCGCAGCCCCCTGTGTCAGTCCATCTTATGTATGTGTCCGTGTGCAAGCAGGGTGGGGGGTGGGGCTGGGGGTCTTCCTCTTGTTTGCTGCCCCCTCCTTCACAGGCTGACTGCTTGGCGGTTGATGTGTCTCAAGGTTTTCAAATAGAGTAAAAATAGCAGGGGAAGCATGCCATCAGACCTGGGATGCAGCAACATGGTGAGGGTCTCCCATTTCATTCTCCACTTTTCCAGACCCGCCACCACCATGCACTTGACTCACTGTCCCCCCGCCCCCGCCCCGGAGCAAACCCCCAGTCACCCCGACACATCTCTGGCCCCCACGTAGTTTGTTTGGCCCAATGTGTGACCCTGTATCAGCCCGCCTGCTCAGCATGACATGGTCAAGGTTCGTCCATGTGGTGGGGCCGCGGGACATTGCTCCTCGTTCTGGCTGTGTAATATTCCACCGTGGGGACGGCCGGCACAGCTGTGGCCCCGCCATCTGAGGACGGACGCTCGGGGTGTTGCCACCTGCGTCTGTCCTGGGGCCTGCTGCCGTGAGTGTGTGTGCCAGTTGCCGTGCACACGTATGTCCTGGACACATACTGCGGAGAGGAGGCGCTGGTCCGTGGGTATATGGGGGAAGGGTGTCCGAATCCTTAGCTTCCGTGGAGATGAGAGGAAGGAGGCAGGAGAGTAAGGCAGGCATCGTGGTTATGCACTGGATGCGAGGTCAGCAGGTCAAAACCAGCTGCTCCAGAGACAAGGGCAAGGCACGGTTTCAGAAACCCACAGAGGCAGTTCTGCCCTGTCCTGTAGGATCTCTGTGTGTTGGAATCAACTCGACGGCAGTGAGATTTTTTTTTTTTTTAATGCAGAAGAGGGGACATCCTGGTGGCTCAGTGGTTTAGGCATTGAGCTGCCAACCACAAGGAGGGCAGTTCAAACCCACCAGCTGAACCATGGGAGAAAGAGGAGGCTGTCTGCTCCGGTACAGAGTCACAGCTTCAGCAAGCTTAGCTGGGGCTCACTATGAATA